TTGGGGGATTCGTCATCTTTACTCGGGACCTCCTCAAGAGCTTCTGCCAGGTCGGTGGCATCTGCCTCTTCGTCACCGCTCTCCTCTTCAGAATCCGGGTCCTCTGTGGCCTGGCGGGCTATCTCATCCGTGATCCGCGAAGTGGTGATGGCGCTCGTGTCAAGCTCGGGGTATGTGTGCCTTGTCAACCACCTATTAAGCTTGAAGCCYTTACGATAAGCCTCCATCAGCACGGTGTCAAACTTGCCCGATCTGACATAGTCTAGGGCGGCCTTAACCTTGGTCTCCTCTATGGCCTGGTTGAAGATCTCAGTTTTCTCCTCAATATCGGCCTTGAGGAACTCCACCTCGTTCTTCAAGACCCCATTATCCTCCTTAAGGCCTTTCACCTCAAGCTCTAAAACCCCCTTGCCTGCCTGGAGGGTGCTCACCTCGCTCTTCAACTCATCCCTCTCGCGTGCCACCTCCTCCTTCTCCGCCATTAGCACCTCAATGACATTCTTTTAAGCTGAAGCATCGCTCTCCAGCCGATAGATTTGGTCACGAGCTGCCCTTAGATCGATGTGGGCTGCGCGAGCCGAGTCCTCGACAGATAGAGCCCGCTTCAGATACCTATCGGACTGAAGGGTCAAGGCGTGCACGGAGGAGTTCACCTGACCAGAGAGGATTGGTTAGCACCGAAGAGATGTACAAAAAAAAGGGGATAAAAGAGAAGAGAGAGAAGGGTCTTTATAACTTACCACCATTGTGTGGGTGGTAGCCCGGGCTCCGAGCTGAGCAAGAGTGAGGTCGGCCCAAATGGAGACCTCTTCAGCGTAGACAACCCCCTTGCTCTTTCGAAGGCTGCACTGAGGAATCAGGATGCTCTGGGCTCCCTCTTGACTCCCCGAGCTGGAAATGGCCGTCTCGGCTATGCGGATGGGCTCAGCGAAAGCTTCAACTGCTGCATCAGCGGCCTCGGTGGCAACCTCGGGCTCTGTAGCTGCCTGTGGAGCAGGCTCTGCCGATGTCTCGGGCTCCCGAGGTGGTAGAATCTCCTCCAAGTCGATGATTGGAGGTACGTCAGGGAGCTCAGGCTTAGAGGTAGGAGCCTACGGAAGCTCGGGTTTGGAAGTGGGGGCCTACGGAGACTCGACGCGAGCTCTCTTGGCAGCTCGCTTCTTCCTCCCTTTCATTTGGCGGAAAAGCCTCTCCCCCTTAAGCTTCTCTTCTTCCATGGGCCCTGCAACATAGCTCGACATTAGTAAACTCGAAAGTACTAACTATTTAAGCAAGGTACTAAGTAAGACAACCTACCCGGGCTCAAGCCGACCTGTATGAGCTTGCTCTCGGCGATATAATCCTTGTAATTAAACCCGAGCTCGGCCCATGATTGGAGTGTCTCCCTTGTCTTCTTGTTCAGGATAACGCCAAGGTCTTGAATAGCCGCCCTCCAATGAGTGGGGAAGGGCCACCCCGCGGTGTTTCATACTACAAAGTAGTCCTACTTCCAGGTGGGGACTTTGCTAGGAAGCTTGTGCAGTAACTTAAAACCCGGGCGAGGGGACAGGTAGTAGGCCCACCTATGCTCGGGGAGAATGCTTGAAGCGCTCTTCTTTATTGAGAGGATCGAGCAAAAAATATCTAAGTTCAAAGGAAGGACATACTTGAAGCAAAGGGATATGGTCCCGACCATGTTACGAACGGAGTTCGAGTGAAGTTGGTATATCGTGACGTTGAAGTGGTTCAGGACCTCTACGATAAGAGGGTGGAAAGGAAGACAGAGCCCGGCTATAAGCTGCTCCCGGAAGATTACGATCTCGTCAGGACCGTGCTCCCATGGGAAGTTACCCATAGGAAAACTGTAGGTATACTCCCTAGGTAGATTGTATTGTTGGATGAGGTATTAGAGCCTCTCCAGGGTCATAATGGAGGGACCGAACTTATCCAGCATCCGACCTCGGTGAGAGGTGAACGCCAGATTACCCGAGGCCTCCCGCGCCTCGTGAGACTGGACTTCAGTGGGGTCACCCTGAGCCGAGGTACCTACCTCGGGCTCATCCAGTTGGCTATCAAAGCTAGACATAGTGGAGAAAACCAAAACAAACTGGAAGGAAAGGAAGCTGAAAGAAAAGCAAAGGGGACTTACCAAGGAAAAGCAACCGAACTAGGGAGAATYGACCCAAGCTGGAAACCTTAGACGCGAGCTCAAGACGAGTGCTGAGGACTTATGGCGAGGGAAAATGACCAGGACCCCCGCTATTTATAGCCATTGTACTCGGACATCAACGGTCAAGATCAAGACGATCTGACGGCTCTCAAGAAAACCAGCTACTCGACCCCCGAAACGAAATTGGTTTAGCGCATTTTTTGACGTCCACGGAGTTCATAGATCGCGTGACGTCCGCGCGTAGACTGTACGCGACCCGGGTTGCCCTTGATCGAGCCGAGCAGTGAACTGGTCTGACCAATAAACCGCCTGACCAGGAGGCCAGAGCTCCGAGCCAAATCCACCCGGCACACCGCGAACTCCCCGCACTGGGTCAAAACCCCCAACACGGGGAGTGGGGGGCAATTGATGGAGGGTGATTTGGCCCGACCTCGTAGCACGGGGACACGTGGGTACAACCTGGCATAAGTGATAGCTTATCGTGGCAGCCTGGCCATAACTCGGCGTACTAAACTCGTCGGAGCCCAGCAATACAACTCGGCGGACGTATCAGCTTACCGAGAAGAAACATCTAGCATACTCCGAATTCTCTCTAAGGGAGGAGGACTCCCGAGCTCCTCCTGAGACCCGAGCTCCTCCTAGTGTGCCCTGAACTCTTCCTTCCTGAGAAGGGAACACCCCGATCTACGGAAAGTATCCCGAAGTGTCCCCACTTCGGATAGCCCCATTAACGCTCCTGCCCATACTTGCCTAAGGCTTGCCTCAAGCACTCGCACCTCGGCTACCCCAACACCCCGGTGTAGGGTAGCTCGGACCAAGGCAGCTCGGTGCAAAGTAGCTCGGCAACCTGCAGAAAAAATATGCCTGACAATAGTACCTACCGAATCTGGAGGCTGCGCCCACGTCTCTTGTCAAGCGGCGTCATACCTGCCACTTCTGCCAGATGTGGCACGCCTGACAGGTCCGTACCCTGCAACAGCTGCCCACATCCACCACCTCGGCTCTGGCAATAACGGCTGCGGCAGAGGCGGTTACGCCTGATTTGAGAGATCTTCAATATAAAAAGACCCCGACCCTCGAAGAGAAGAGGTATTGAACTTGCGCCATCTGCACTCTCAGCTCTTTGTTTGTAATCTTCAGTTTTCTCAGAGTTCTAACTTAAGCATTGGAGTGTTCCCGCCGGGCGAGCTCCCCGGGAATTCTTCACCTTCCTCTTCGCCTCAGGTACTGTCCGTCACCAGCTAGGAGCCAGGTTTCCACCAGCTAGGAGTGCCCGGATCGCACAGCATCAACAATCCTAACACTGTCTATGGACTTGTTCAGTGTAGAGGCGATGTCTCCATGGGTGATTGCCATATATGCTTGTACGCTTTCGAGCATAACAATCATCCAAAGATGACCCAATAAGAATGGCATACATATATGTTACAATCAAGGTTCTAAATATCGACATGGTGTTGGCCTGTGTCAGTGCTTTTTTTTTATGTTTTATTTATTTTTTTCAAAACCGGTGCATAGGGGACGGTTTAAGTTTCGGCCACCCTCTGAACCATGGTATGACCCGATACAACCCCTGTAGGGGTGTATCGAGAAGCCATCGACATGATATGTATCGGTCGATACGTGTTGATATTTTGAACCTTGGTTACGATCACCGTCTCACGCTATTCCAATCTCAATTTTTTCCCAGGTTTGATGATTCTCCATGGGCTGATTTAACTAATCTTTCATATACGGCGGTCTCAATTGGGTTTATTACATACCAATGAGCTTTTTGTTTATGATCTCAACTTCTTTTACACCGTTGTTCACTCCAAACGCATAAAGAAAAACCATCGATGTCTTACACCGTTTTGAATTTACATTGATGGACTTTTTGTATTTACATCGCTTCCAAACATAGCCTTAAGAACCCCCTTTAGGGATCACAATGTCCCACCTATTCTTTCATCTAAGTAGGTGTTTGGCATCGATGCTGGAAACACAAAAAACGGTGTTGTGTATGTCAGAAAACGATGCTTATTTTTTGTTTAGAAATAATACTGCCACATAGGCTGTTTTCTGGGAAAATACCAGTGCTGTAAAACCATTTTCAGCATTGGTTTATCTTATCCAATGTCCAAGATAATGCCACATCATTGCACCATTGGCAGTGACAAACTATTTTCTAAGAAAATATTGAATTTGGTATTTCTTCAAACCGCACTTTCTTGATTTCTAAGGCATGATCTAAAACAATGTTTTTTTTTTTTTTTGAAAAAACAATACCAAATAAGAGACCGTTTTCGAAAGCACCGCCTTTTTTTATGTGACGCTGCATTGATGGCAAACACCGCCTAAAACAACCAACCTTCCATCTATCGGGTGCCCCTTGCCGTTGTTGTTTGCTAAAGCAGACGAATGGATCGAATTCATTGTAGGTCGTGGAGATGAAGCTTGTGCTCGTTGTGGACAAGAGTACGAAGAAAGGGACCGTACATGGGGCAAAATTGAGTTTTTGAAAAAATAATAGCTGACGTCACATGCAAACGGATTGCCAATTTGCCAAACGGAGGAGACTGAAGAGGGAGGGTTTGTCTGATGATGACGTCAACCAATAGGGATAATTTTAGTTCAATTTGAAAAGAGAGGGGGTGCAAACGGATTGCCAATTTGACGGAGTATCAAATATCAATGCTTTTCGTCACTCTACGGTGACAGAATTCTAACGGCGGGGGCAAAGTGATTGAATCCAAAAGTTCAACCTTCCGTCTTTGTCGCAAAACAAAGTTGTTAGTCATTAGGGACTCCCTAACTCCCTAAGCACAGGGTTGCTGCCGCGCTTCGTATAAGGTATAACTATAAGCCGAGCGTTCTAATTCTAATAAAACCCTCCCCCCATACAAATGCTATATTACAGCTCGTATGCAGGCGTAACCGAGTGAGTCGTCTGCACACTTCAGGCATTTCCAATTCCAATTCACAGAGGACAGTGGAGAGAGAGAGGAAAAGGGGTTCCTGTCTACGTTCTTCGGCTTCCGGTCATCTCGTCATCTCGTCATCTCGGCCATGTTTCAGCATAAATACCAGGTCCAGGTTCCTGTCTACGCTTTTTGCTCTTGTAATACCTGCGAGGCTGCGATTTGACAATCTAGGGTTTCGCATGCACTTCTGCTCTCTTTCTTTGTTCATTAGCTGTAATGACGGGAAGGAAGCACTTCCTGTTTATTTCTTTCTACGTTTCATTTATAATGTGCTTATCTAGTAATGTCTAGTCTATCTTTCTGCTTCTGTTGTGCTGCATGTTTTAATTCTCAATTAGCTAGTTTTATCTGCGTAGAGAAATAAAAGGAAGAAAAATAAAACCTTCATTTCATAGATAACAGGGGGAGTTTCACTGGGTGACGAGAATTAACTATTTAGATTGAAGAAATTATCAGAAAATTTACAGCTGCTTTTAGGGTTAGCTTAATTTACTGAGAATATTGTGCCGACTCAAAGGAGTGCGTTTCATCTGGACTGTGAAGACATATTTATGCTAGAGACAAATTTTGTCCAATTTTGAACTGTAACAGCCGCAGCCACACGGTGTTCTGTAACTAATGTATGTATAGTCTATTTTGGTAGTAGTATTTTAATTAATACAAATATTTTCCAGAAATTACGTAGTTCATTTTGTGTCAGAGCACGGCCACACGGTGTTTGATCCTGCATATATCCCACACCCACATCCATCTCATGCATTGTTTAGCATGGGCAGTTTGGGCAAAATGAAACTCTGGGTGTCAATGTTCTCAAGTGAATGAAGAATTTGATGCATCCACCACCAATATAAATGAAAAAGAGCACAGGCAATATAAGAAAGAAAATGTAGTTTAATTATATCCATATGTTGTCACAGCTAAAGGAAGTGTTTTGTTACTTAGACAGTGAAACCAAGTAACAAACACCTTCCCTTTTCAACGTGACACCTCTCTCCAAGATGGCAAACCATGCTTGAATTGGGTACCATACTGGCAATGTAGCCACAATATTGATCCTATGACCAATACCTTTCGTTTTTTCATATTGATATATAACGGTGTTTTAAAATGTGGAGGCGTGACGCGAGGTGTTCCACTACCTAGAGGTGTGAGGCGTAGGGGTGCTCACGGTTCGGTTAACCGAACCGTGGGGTATTTTTTCAAACTGAACCGATTTGATCGGTTTTTTAAATACACAAACCGAAACCGAACCGATTCAATCGGTTAACCACAGTTCGGCTTTTTGGTTTTTTATGCACTTAAAATAAAAAAATCTAAAACTGTCGGTGGACCAGTGGTTGCTATCGGTGCCAGCCATCTGTTATTCTCCTGTCGGTGCTGACCATCAGTTCAGATCCTGCATCGAGTCATGACGCTTCTAACAAAGTTATTTTCAGAGGTTCTTGTAGGCTATCATGGTGAGAGCTTGAGGTGGCGTCTGGCGGAGCTGCAGAGAGGGGAGATGAGAGAGAGAGAAGAGAAATACAGACTACAGAGATGATGGCGGAGCCGCGACTGGCATTGCCGCTTGATGCTGGTAGTTAGCATGGGTCGTGTGGCGGAGATGACAGGTGAGAAGCCGAGAAGAAAACTGAAAACTATTGGCGAAGCGGCCACCGGCATTGCTGCTTGGTGCTGGTGATTGGCGTAGGCTACACGGTGGAGATAACAGAAGATAAGCCAAGAAGAGAGACCGAGAGTTAATTATCCCATCACACGTGGAAGAGTGAAGATTAAATTAGTGAAGATGGAGGTGGGTGGTGGGTTTTGAAGATCCAAGATATACAAATGGAAAGAAGTAATGCCTTCTTTTTCTGACCTATTTTCGTGTTTTGATAGTGTAAACTACTTTAATCTTCTTTTCCGAGTCAAGCATCAGATTAACCAAAGAGACCGAGAGAAAAAGAGAAGTTGAAAGTTTCAATTTTCGAAAAGACAGACTGGCAGTCATCATTTACAGTCAGTAGTCTGAGACTTTTAGCTTTTTTCTTATATATCGGTCGGTTCGGTTAACCATCGGTTTTTTAAATGGTTAACCGAAACCGAACCGAAATTGTCGGTTTTTTAAGAACATCGAACTGAAACCGAACCGGTCGGTTCGGTTAACCGATTTTTCAGTTCGGTTTCAATCGATTTTCTTGATCAGTTTGGTTTTTTGGTTTTTTTGCTCACCCCTAGTGAGGTATGCCATAGTTCAGAACGCAAGAGGTGTAAGCTTCCTTAAGAGGAGGGGGTTTAGGAGGATGATGAAGAGGAAGGGGGATCTCATTTTTTCTTTATTATTAATAAAAGTCTTTTATATTAAGAAGAATAAAGATGCATAGCATTAGTTGAAAGGGGGGGTCTTTCCCCTTATCTTTTCTTCCCTTCCCTTCCCTTCCCTTCCCTTCCCTTCCCTTCCCTATACTTTTCTCTTTTTTTCTTCTCTTTCTTTTTCTTTCCTTTAATAAAAATCTTCTTTTTTTTGTCTTTTTATATCAGATGTGCATGAGGTGTACACCTCTAGCACGCCTCATGAAAAAAGCGCAAGAGGCGTACGCCTCTTGCACCTGAGGCGTAAGCCTCAGAGGTGTCAACGCCTCTGGCGTACGCCTCAAGGTGTTTCGGGAGCACCTCCAGGCATACGCCTCCCACACCTTTTAAAACACTGATATATAATCTAGCATTTGTTGTTGTTGTTGTTTTTTTTTTCTGCATATTATATGAACTTTGATAATGCATTTCCTCTATCATTTCCTTGCAGGATACATTCTGATTCTTCTTGTCTTTCCTCCCTTTCATCTTCTAATTCAATGAAATATGTTTATCCAGGAATCATCAGCATTGAAGCTTGTGGATAGGAATGACCCCTCTTTAATATTAGAGGGTGAAATGCATAAAGAAGAACTTTGTAAAGTTGAACTGAATCAACTGATCATAGATAAGTCCAAGGTTGGTCCAGTCCTATTTTCATAACCCACTTTGAAGCTAATCATTTATGTATATCGTAAAAAAAAACTTGAAATCCTCATCTTATAGTTGCTTTTTGAGTTAAGAAGATGCATGGTTCTCAATTGTTCTAAGCTCATATAGGTCATCCTTATGAGCAATCATTCTTTTTGATCTGGAATGAGTCAAATTGCTGAACGGCATTACTATCTTGTTAATTTTAATGTTGCAGAAACTTCAGGATGATGTCCAAAAGCTAGGGTTGAAAATTAAACATCATGAAGAGAACCTGAAGTTTCTGAAGGCTGTGACAAATGACTTGGACGAATCTATTCTTGATATACAAGGTACTTCTCTTTTTGTTTTCTTTTCCTCTCCCAATTCCTATTGTAACACTTTCTATCAATTTAAGCATGAAGCATCTTGGTCCAATATAGAATGTCCTTCCCCTACTAACTTTTTAATCTCTCAGTTAGTCTTGGAAAGTACCATTCATCAAGTGAAGCTAAGATCGAAACTGAGAATCTTAACCACTTTCAGACTGAGGAGGACACAATTGAACAGATACTAAGGCAGGAGAAATCTGCTGCAGGCATATTATGCCAACTAAAAATGCGTCATGGGACTCAGGCATCATATCTACCATTAACCAAGGATGTTCTGGGCATTGTAGCTACACTTGGAAAAGTAGATAATGATAACCTTAGCAGGTCAGCCTCTTCTGGCAATTCCCTTTTCTTCCTTTGTAGTTATGGAATTGTGCAACAGTCATACATATGGATGTGATTTTGGTGTTCATTATAATACATTTCCATAATAATTAATATGTGACCACCTCCACACCTTTACATGGCCCAATTAGCCATCTATCTTAATGATTCAGGACATCAAATTTTCATGCATCTAAAACAAGATTCAGGTAAACCACACAATTTTCCATTGTTTACCTAAAAATAATATGATTTGTTCAATGGTGATAGTAATCCAGGAAACCTTGTGTTGAATGTATTCCAGTAAAAGAGGGGCTCCCTTGTTGGATGCTTCAAATCAATGAGATATTTCAGCATTTTTATTGACAGTGAAAGGGGTCCTTCTGTCATAGGCACTATGGCTTTCCTCCCAAATCTTTTTTTTTTTTTTTGATAAATGAGTGAAATTTTATTAAACCAGCAAATAAGAGTTACATGCAACCCGTGGAAAGGCACGAGATGCGACCTTTCCTTTAAAGCTAATTACAGAATTATAAGTACAAAAGAAATTACACTGAAGCCCAAAATAAAGTATCCCGGAAAACCCCTTGTTTTGCAAGTGAAATCAGCCAATGAGTTTGCTGATCTGCCTACCCACTGAATTCTGATTGTCATATTCTTTGTTAACCATTTAACTTTTTTAAGATCTCTAAAACCCCAAATCATAGTGTCTGGATCCTTCAGCCAACTCACTATCACCGGGAATCCCCTTCAACAATCAGATGCTCTATGCCTAGCTGATTTGCAAGCTGGATTCCTTGTACAGCAGCAAGTAATTCGGCCCTTAAAGAGTCTCCCACACCTGAAGGACCTGAGTTTCCTCAGCTACTTCCATCGAAGTTCAGTTTGATAAACTCCTCCCCTGGTGGCATCCATTCAACCCCATGTCTGTCCTCCCAAATCTTCAGCTTTTATTGATTTGGTTTTCTCTATAATATTACTTTTCAGACTTTTGTCGGAGTACTTAGGATTGGAGACTATGATGGCAATTGTATGCATGACATATGAAGGTGTTAAAACTCTAGAAATGTGTGACAAAGAGGGCAGGATTAACAAGAGTGCTGGTCTTCATGGGCTTGGACCTTCAATTGGAAGGCCCATGGATGGTCGATTTCTAGTTATTTGTCTTGAAGGCTTAAGGTAAGAACTTCATATACTCTGATATTTCTTCATTCAAGTATTGGTAAGAAATATGCTTAATTTTTTCTTCACAGACCATATGCCGGTGACTTTGTAGCTGATGACCCACAAAGGAAGCTTGCTCTTTTGAAACCAAGATTACCAAATGGGGATGTTCCACCTGGGTTTATTGGTTTTGCCGTGAATATGATAACTGTGGACAGTATGAACTTATCTTGTCTTACAGCCAGTGGGCATGGCCTCAGAGAGACTTTATTCTATAGTCTTTTCTCTCGCTTGCAAGTATATAGAACCAGAGCAGATATGCTACTTGCCACCCCCTGTATAAGTGATGGTGCCATTTCTTTAGATGGTGGGATGATTAGGAGCACTGGTATCTTTTCCTTGGGTGAAAGGTAACCAACAATTCTACAACACAATTGTTATGTCATTTATTTAACATAGTATTTTGGTGATTTATTTTTCTAAAGGGGCCATTGCATGGTACAATGGTAAAATCTCAGGCTGACAAAGTATGGCAACAGAGGTGCAAATTTGAGAGCAGCCACTTTGTGCAAAAAAAGGGCCAAAGATTAGGTACTTGGGTCTGTATCCAGTGTACCACAGATAACCCTTTTATTGATTATATTTGTCAAGTACTAATAAGAAATAAATAATTTTGACAACTTATGAGATACATTTTAAGTGACCCAGAAGCATCCAAACTATGAGCTTGTAGATAATGTTTGTCAGGTATCCTAACTGAATATTATTATCATGGTTCAAATTATCGATACTCTCGATATGCAAAATTTTGCTAACCTCTGGTTCTTTTTTTCTAGTATCCACATTAACCAACCAAGTGGAATCAGAAACCTAAAATTATTTGTTAATAAAATACATGGAGGACACTCTTCCACCGGGAGTAAATTTTGGGGACCTGGGAAAAAAAAACTTAGAATTATTTGACTTGTTAAGGTAGTTTATGGATTGATTGCCCATATAAATTATTGTATACCATGTACACAATAAAAGAAAAAGGTAAAGGGATGAACCTGAGGCTGTTTTTTAGACAACAGGGGTGGGAATGCAACTGAATTATGCATTGCCTTTTAAAAAAATGCAACTAAATTTGGCTTCCTATCAATCCTGTAGAATTAAATTCTCACTCCCTTGGGAATCACAGCTTCACAAGTCAGCAAATTGAAAGCTTTCCTTGCTTCAAATACAGCCTAAGTTCTGATATCATTCCCCTTTTCCATAACAGTAGCAAGTATGTGGATACAGTTTTCCATCTTAAACAACATAAGAAAAAAATGAATTAAATTCAACAATCCAAGAGAATAGCATTAATGTCATTTTGGTAAATGTCATGGTTCAGTTACATGAGAATAATATTTCTCATCTTTTTTCCTTTTTTGGGTATGTAAGCTCTTAATGAATTGCCAGAAAAAGAAAAAAGGTTTCTGAATGATTTTTTACACTTCATTTTACATGTTTCTGATCCTCATCGCTTACTATTATGACTTATGAATCAGGGTGTATTTGTTATGGGACTTCAATTGTGCAAATTTTTAACATACCAGTTTGACTGAGTTTCTCTTTGTTGCTGCATCTTTTGATCATGGACTGTCTTCTTTAAGGAAAGACATAAAGGTGAGATTTCCAATAAGCTGTACAACATCAAACCTACCTGCAAACTACATTGATATGGAGGATAGGATCAAGGAAATGAAATGGGAGAAAGAAAGAATTCTTGAAGATATGCAAAGAGAACAAGCATTATTGGACCATGTAAAAATCAATTATAAGGAGAAAAAGCAAGAGTTTCTCAGGTTCCTTAAAGAAAGCTCACAATATGTGGCTCAGGTAAGACCTTGTTAACATCCTTTCTAATTGTGAATTATTTTGTGCAACATTATTTTATGTTCATTTGGTAAGCTCATCTGAAGTGCTAGTGTACCGGCAATTCTCATCGGAGTAGTTTTTTTTTTTCTTTTAATTTTGTTTCCATAGCAGTAAGCTATTAATGGTCTGGATTGAACTGACAGACCTGAATTGATCATGTAAAAAACGTGTATATGTATTTATATTACCACATGGGTACATGACAGATACCTGCTAAAGGTTTTAAGCATGTTTCTTATGGTTTACCTATAAAAGCTTCATATAAGATGTCTAAAGCAAAGAATGTTTGTGGCATACTGTGATGAAGAGCATTCATGGCTTGGGGGTTTATGAGCGGGACCTTGGGATAGTAGCTAGAGCTTCTTTGGCCTCTCCCTGGAAAGCCATCTTTGTTTTTGACATTTTTATTCAACATATTAGGTATGATGTTCTGTTAAGGGATAAACAAGGTTTTGAGAGGATTTGTGGTGGTTGGGAGCTATCTTTAATATATAGCCTTCCTAGACTTTATTCTCCTCCCTACTATAAAAATAAATTTGTAGCTCATTGTATTTCTTTATCCAATTAGAGAGTCACTAGGACTCCGGGTTTAGATGAGATCTTAAGGAATTTGAAAATTTTGAGATCATTTGCCTTGATCCCTTTGAATATGATTGTAGAATTTGGTCTAGTAACCCCATTAGTACTTCACTTGGATGTCATTAGGGAAATTCATATAAATCCAAAACAGTGTTTTAAAAGTTGCGCCTCAGGCACAGAGGCAAGGGGCAATTCAGGTTTTGCGTCTTGCCCGGGTCAAGGCGCATGCCCTTCAGGAAGGTGCTTGCCTTTGATCCTAGGCGCACGCCTCAGGCCAGGCGGCCCAGTCGAGTGCCTTATGTATGTATTCAAATTTTTTTTGTTTAACTCTCTGTGTTTTAGTTTATAGATAGTTATTATCATGTATAAAAGTTATTTTTCTTTTATGTTTTTACACCTGTTGCATTCCATATAGTAAAATAATAAAAAAATAATGGGAAATGAATCAAAACTTCCCAAATAAGCTAAAGAAGTGTGATTGTCGAACTCTAGTCCAAAGCTCCATGCGCAGACCTTCTTGATCGTCCAGGTCCATATTCAATGCATTCTTCAATATTCCAGTGGCACATTCAATCAAAAATAGGTAACTTTCTATTTTTTGGAAACTAAAAGCTTGGGGTAAAGAGGAGTTTAAAAGTTTTGTGGAAGATAATAATAAGCTAATTCAAGAGATTGATGATCTGGACTAGAGAGAGCAAACAGAGAATTTGGATGCAGAGGGTAGAAGCCGAAGAGAAGTTATTAGAGGGGAGTGGGAGAAAATTATATTAAGGGAGGAAATCTATTGGAGATAAAGGTCTCGAGTGAGATGGCTGAAGGAGGGAAGGCCTACTCAAAGGGCTCTACTCAAAGGATGGTACTAGCAGAATTCCTCTGAACAGATGGGAAGGCCTAAGATTGTCTGAAGACAAAAGGATGTAACTAGAAAGACCTTTTGAAGAACAAGAGATTAAAGAAGCAGTTTTTAAGATGGACGGTGATAGAGCTCCAGGACCGGATGAGTTCCCTATTCTTTTCTACCAACTTTGCTGGGACACAATCAAGTCTGATCTAGTGGAGGTGTTTGCAGACTTCTACCTATTAGCCATTGTGAACAAAGGAAACAACTCAACATTCATCACCCTAGTGCCAAAGAAAGAGGGATCCTTAGAAGTTAAGGATTTCACACCTATCAGTTTGGTGGGAAGCTTATACAAAATAGTAGCGTAAGTGTTGGCGACAAGACTAAAGGAGGTGCTGAATAGTCTAATTTCAAACAACCAATTTGCTTTTGTGCAAGGAAGATAGATTACTGACAGCATTCTAGTGCCCAAAGAATGTGTAGAAGAAAGAAGACAAAGTGGCAAGCCAGGCGTAGTAATCAAGTTGGACCTTGAAAAGGCCTATGACAAAGTGGATTGGGATTGCTTGTTAGAGATTCTAAGCCTGAGAGGTTTCGGTAGAAGGTGGATGAGATGGATAAAAGTTGCATAAGCTCTGTTTGGTTTTCAATCCTGATTAATGGGGAACCTACTGGTTACTTTAATGCAAACAGGGGCTTGAGACAAAGGTACCCTCTCTCCCCACTACTCTTCACTATGGTGGCAGATGTACTTAGTTACTTGATACAAGAAGCGAGGGAGTTAAATTTGCTGAAAGGTTTTGAGATAGGTAGGGAGGCAGTTCCGGTTTCCCACTTGATGTTTGCAGATGACATTATATTTTTTCTGGAGGCAGATTGGGAGAACATTTCCATCTTAAAAAGAGTGTTAAATAGTTTTGAGATGGTGACTGGACTCAGAATTAATTACTCTAAAAGCAGCATTGTGGGCCTGAATGTTAGTGACCCTCTATTGGAGAGGTTTAGGGAGCTGTTGGGGTTAAGTTGGAGAGGCTCCCCATTTCCTATTTGGGAATGCCTCTTGGTGGGAACCTGAGAAGTCAAAGTTTTTGGGACCCAGTAGTGGAAAAATGTGAGAACAGACTGGCCACATGGAAGAAAAGCTTTCTTTCAAAAGGTGGGAGACTTACACTAGGTAACTTTCTATTTTTTTCTTCTTCTTCACTGTTTTGCACTGAAAACAGGGGCTACCCCTTCTTCTTTAGAATAGAAATTAGAACTTTAGATTGCATTGTCATACTCATATCTTAACTCTGAACTCATAGAAACCTAGATTGTATTATTTTTGTATTTTTTCTGATTTTTTTAAAATTTTATAAATTTTTTCTTTTTTTTTGCATTCCTTGCGCCTTGTGCCTCAGGCACAAATTGGCCCCTGCGCCTTGCACTTTTAAAACACTGGTCCAAAATGCATCAATAAAGTTAAAGGGCTCAAATGACTCTAAGTAAGGTATAAACATGTTTTTAATAGTTTAAATGTGAAACTGTGGACTTCTGGGATACCCTTAGGAAATGTTGGGAAATGGAAGAAGAATTGAGACATGTATCTATGCCTAAGAAAACCAATGTAAGTTTTATTATTACTTAAAAATATTAATTTTAGAGTTCATAGAATTGGATAAAATTAAAAAATTAAAATGTATGCTACTCTGTTAAATTTGGTATTGTGGTTAGTGTTTTTCTCTCTCACATTTAGAGTTCTAGGTTGAAATCTCTGTAGTATCAGTTGGTATATAATTTTTATATATTAGCTTTAAAGGAGTTTCTTTTTTTTTTTTGAAGAATAAATGATAAAGATTTCGTTAAATGAAAAAAGAAAGTACCAAGGAAGGTGATAAGGAATCACCCGAGAGAAGAGAAAAAGACCAAGAAGACTTAAATTAGGTGATTAACATCGAAGGAGTGGAATTTCAAAATTCAGAATTACTATTAAATATCCCTTGATTTCAAATTTCAAAACTTAACTTCAAACTTAACAAAAAAATCAATATTCAGATGAATGTATTAACTGGTACGTTCATTGTATGAGCCTTTATCAGTCAGTATTGGGGTGATACAATGAATGTATTTTCTGGTACATTGGATTCAGGTGAAATGGCATTGAGTCGGTCATTCCACCTGTGCCATGTGCCAGTCACATTGGAAATTAATATGATTCATTTTGTGTTGGGCATATATTGATATTTTAAACCTTGCACACAACTAAACTCATAGGTTGGATCATTGCTGACATATCTAGCCATGGAATCTGGAGAGTTATCCTTCACAAGTAGAAAACACTTAGATGGTTTGATACTTCAATTTCCCATTTGATGCATCTAGTCTTGGTGAGATGGAAACTTCTCATGCATCCAGATCCTGCTGATCAGGAAACTGTAGTGGAAGGTCTAGAAGGGAGTTATTGTTTATGTAGTCAAAGTCATTAAATTAAGATTTGGATCCTAATACTACTGTTTCTATGTCGATAAGCTGCATAGCTGGATTTGTCAGGTTGCTTCTTTACCGAGATCATGATGTAAGCATTCCTTGGTGTTTTATCTATACCACTTACGAAATTTTCTGCTGCCTCCTGTGTTGCAATCAGAATGAAGCTCAGATGATGCAAAATAGAAGCTTCCCCAGATGAAATGTGCATGGGAAGAGTCCGGTACCCATTTTGAAGCTTCATATGATATTTGAACTACAACTATTTGTTTTAGCTGTCATCTGTGTAATTATTTTCTGGTCAGACAAAAGAAAATCTTACACGAATGAATATGGGTGAACAGGGGTAGTTTCTTGGATGGAATGGGTTGACTTTTCCTAGATGTATTATATGCAGAGGCCTAACTAGATTTGGCATCATTTCATTCATCAAAAAAAAAAAAAAAAAAAAAAACTAGATTTGGCATCATTTGGCCTCATCTTATATGCTTGGTTAAGGTAAAAACTTCCCCATGATAAGCATGAAAAAGCTTCAATACAGAAAAGGAAAACCGGAAGGAGCAGTGTTTTTCGCTTATTTGAAACTTACATGCTAGTTTCTGAAGATAGCTCTTTGCATCTTTCTTACTAGAGGAATTCATACATCTGGGATTCTGGACAGGGAGGTAAGTACACAACCTGCATCTTTTGTTCGGCAGCAAGTATGCAGGGCATACAGAGGTTGTTAATTGGACTTCAATTTATGGCAGCTTGAGAAATTGTATATGTAATAATAATTTTAGTTACTAGTACCATGGCCATCTAATGGTTGGCAACTATTTCTCAATTTTTTTTTTCCATACGGTAGATTAGGGAGAATAGTATCTTGTGGGGGCTTTTCCATGTTAGTCTGGCTTTATGTGATTGTAGATTGCAGGATGACTTGAAGCTGGAACCGTAAAATGAGTAATAGAAGTTCATGTTGGACTGAGAGATGATACGCATAAGTTCCGGTTATTAAAGTACTTACTGGTATTGCCATGTCAAATTGCATCAGCATTCAGGGGATGTTCCATAACCATCTACTCATCAGTCATGGATGAAACTTGTAGTTGTCAGAAGCATAAAGTACTTACTGGTATAATCGTTTGATTTGTTTATCTTTTTGCAAATTTTGGTACAGCAACAGAGGATTCATTATCGGAAATTTAAACATTAAATTGAAGGTTAAGCTAAAGATCTGCAATGTATTTAATCGATCACTTCGGGGAAATTTTAACAAGATCCAGCCGCTAAACCAAATTGGGGTTAAAATGACTTGAGAGAGAAGTCAGAGAACTTTGCTTCAGTCTTAATGATACATAAGTATATGATGCAAACTGAAGTTGAGTTTCATATATGATGCATTAATGACCATTACTTTGAACTGATGAATGTGATGCCTKAAGGCGGAAGCTAAATCAACTGAGGCTTTTGATCACTTGTAAAATAGGTGCTATAGCAGAATGCTAAAAATGGTTTCCAACGTATTACGGTTTTCAATGGTAATATGATAAACCGGTGAAACAATCACCCCAGTGTCCGCGCTTCCTTATTTGGCAAATAAACAAGTTAATGGATTGCACAGGAGGTCAATGAAATTCATTAAATGATACATGAGATTTCATTAAATGGAAGCTAGCCAAATAAACGACATCGGTAATCAATGAAATTCGGTTGCACAGGAGATTTCTAATGCTTAGATTAAAAAGATTCATTCTTGAAGTTCGACTATGATACTGTGAAGGCATGATACATAAAAGTTAAAACAGTGATAACCGATCAACTGAATCAGCTAGTGTTCATCAAAACTGTTGAATCCCTATTTAAGAATTTCTTTTATCTAATCTGTAGGATCAATAAAAAATCCAATTCCCTTGTGATATACACCAGAATCGGCTCAGTTATTTATACAATAAATAGATCAGCCATGGCGATGCGGAGATTTCGGCAGCTGCCACATGAAGTCGGCCGCATGCTACTGTTAGGAGCTGAACTGAACGTCTTATTGTTCACTAAATATTAAGTATATATGTATTTATGGTTGTAACAATGTAAAGTCCAAACCTTGCGAACCATGGAATAAAATAGTTTCCCCATTAAGCCAGTGGGAGAATTCACGAGTCATGACTCATGAGTAGGTGACAATGTGACATTCATATTTCATAGACCACGACCCATGAGTCAGCATTTGATAACTGAGCATTCGCTTCAGCTAAGATTCACAAGATGAAGTAAACTTAGGGTCACTCGTTGGTCATGGATCCATGAAGATAGAGCTGTCAATGGATCAATGGATCGAGCCTGGGTAGTCACGTGTCCCCAAAACATGTTGAGAAGTAATTGGTTCAGATATTAAATGGGTTGGAACAAGTAAACTCAGTTCCAACCCTTGTAATTGAAAATAAAAATGCAAACCCTATATGTAATAGGGTCATATTGGTTCAGGCCTCATTAAATTCACCAAGACACTAGAAAGCCCCATGTGGAGATGGGATTGGATTGGGTTCTTAAATTCTCATGAAAATTACCAGGATGTGTGCATACTGATTTAAAAATCAGAGAAAATTAGCATCTTGCATCATCTCATCGTATGCACATGAAGTATATAACATCAAGTCTTTCACCAATCTACGTGCATCTGCAGTAACTGTGTTAAATCAGCTCTGGTGGTGGTTGTTTCATTGAATGCTTCAGTAACGGCTCCAAGATGCTTGGGGTATCTACTGTGACGTGCAGCTCCAACACAGTATATGATCTGCACTCAGCAAGCTCAGAAATCAGAGTGTTATCAAAGTTCTTTGGTTTTTCGTAACTTGCCTGGTAACCGGTTGGAACTGGGATTGAACATGTTTTGTAGGACCTCTATTTCATGTCCAGTACTGTTGTAAGTTCCGAACATAATTTGCATACTCCACAGGATGTGTGTGTGTGAGAGAGAGAGAGAATAAAAAGAAATAAATGATTACAATAATGCATCAAGGTTTCCATAATCTTGGAAACAATACGATAGAATAGCCAAATGAATCATATACATGCCTTTTTGACAAATTTTGTAGGACTGCAAAAATATATATATTTGACTTTCTTCTTTTCTCCTGTCTTTTTTCTTGTTCTTTTCTGTTCACTCGTTAAGGTGGGGTTAAACCCCAAGAATCGCACATTGCAAAATATAGAATCCTCAAACTAAGCAATGATCTCAATCTCCTCTCATTAGAAATTATGAAACACATGATTCACCCTATAGGTTTATCTCTTGAATCTCCTTGGGCCTTGCTTTTTCTCGCTGCATGTGTAAATGAGTTAGATCAATRGCTAATCATGGAAGATTTAAAAAATCTATACAAAACATAGAGTGCATCCAGAATTGTACTCATAAAAGCACCATACAAAGAAACTTAAATATTAAACTTGATCAGATGAGAGTAATTTAGATCTTAAATGATCTATGAAAAGAGAAGTATAGATATACAACACTTTCAACAATAACTAAAAGGTTAGGGTATATTTTTGCAAAAAGGATGTCATTACCATTGTATATTAAATCCTCAGATTCTAATGCCATTACCATTTTAAAGTTGTAAATTGGAACCCCAGAGAGAGCTTACATACTTGAGAAAAGAAAAAAAAAAAAAAAATTAAACTAGCTATAATTTTTTATCCCTGGCCATTGGCATGGTAGAGGTTCAACACTTCAAACCCTACAACCAGTGCCAAATTACATCTGGACATCTTAAGAAAATCAAAAGGCTTCTTCTAAGATAAGTCAAATGACCCAATCTTCATTTGTCAAATTCCGTAAAACAAAAATTACATCATGTCATCATCTGTACACCAAAAACTATCATTTCTCTTTCCTCCATTTTGACGATGTTAATACCAATGAAATAGGAAGCCTCCAAACACATTGGACCAGCTAAATAATGCAAAATATATACTATACTACATTTTTGCAATACAAGAAGGATGATGCAAATTGGCATTCTATAAATGAATGCAAAATTCAATTCAAGTGGCAATCTGACTCTGTATCAATGACATTCTGCTAATGTTCAGATACTCAGCAACAATTGCTTCCAGTAAAAGAAAGAAAACATAGCAAGGTAAGAGAAAAAAGTAATATAACTTATCCATAAAAATTAAGAAAAATAGTTTAACATACCTTGATGGAACATCATCAATGCTTGACATTGATGCTTCTCTCTCCCCTCTTCCAAAGGCAACTTCATCCATGCTTTGTCCCTGTCGCCTGTACCTACCACCAGATGCTACAAACCCAGGGCATGGTCTGTAAGCCTTTATAGGCCACCAACCAAAGCCAGGGACTGTTGCTATCCCACCTTGAATCCTTCCCTCACCATTACAGCCCTTCTCCAATTCTGCTCTCCCGCATGTTTTACATCCACTACAAACAAGTGTGATTCTACAGTAATTAGAAATCAACATTCTCCCTATTGATTCACTATACAGAAATTTTAAAAACAAACCAGAAGAAAGTGGATATAAAGCATATGACATCAAATTAGACCCATCACATTTACAAAAGTCCACACATAGCACAATAAAGAAATGATATTTATGATTACTAACCAAAACTACATTACAATTTTATTTCCTTTTACTAGGAAAGTAAACCTCTCATCGGGAATTGTAAGGTCGCTACTCATTAGAAGATCCCAACCTGCTAATTGATGAAGACTATGGGTTTCGACACCACAGATCATGTTCCAGAATTGGTTTTCACCACTACCTTCTTGCCCAGAAGAACAGAAAAGCCCAAAGCCCAGTGACGAAGGGTTAGAAACCTAGGCTCTGGTATCAATGTTCACAGACCTCACTAACTAGTACTATGAAAACCTGAATTGGAGAAAACAAAAATAAATAAATAAATCAACTTTCCTTTCCCAAACCTGTCAAAATCCATGTCAAGATAAAGACATTCCGATAAGAAAAGTATGGACGTGACCAAACCCTCTAACTGTTTGATCCCTTGGTTACCAAATTACAACACCAAAAGTATTTAGTGCTAACAAGATCATAAACTAGAACTTCACGCGACTAACGATTCATGAGATTGCCCCAATATTTTAGGTCATAATCCCACCTATTGAAAGAAAATGTATAGCCAAGTAACTCCGTTTCTTTTTTTCCGGCCTCACCTTAAAAGGGGAGAAGCTTTTTTCGTTCCGAAATATTTTACATGAAATGAAATGTGGCCTCACCTTAAAAGGGGAGGAAGCTTTTTTCGTTCCGAAATATTTTACACCAAGTTCAAGTTCATAGAAGCAAAAATTATAATCTACGCAAGAAGAAATGTCATGATAAATCAGAGATTTCGCGAGATGTTCCACCTTATATGGAAGAAATGCAATGAACTAAGAAACCAACATAAATAATTCGCTGATTGAAAATAGGAGACCAACCCGTTTGGAATTTCCTTAATGGGAAGCTCTTCTGACTCTTCATTGACTAGTCCATCTTTGCTAGGAACTACATCCGATGGAGTAGAATCTTCAACCAGAGAGGCTAAAGGAGGGCGCAGAAGGATGACATTAGTTGGCGCTCTTGTGAAAATTGTTGCGTTAGGTGACCATCGACTGCCGCTACGCCAACGGCATTGGGAAAAAAGAGATGGAGGGGTTGGAATAAGAAGAGTTGCCATTGTCGAAGACTGATATAAGGGAGGTAATTCAGGCCTGCTTTACCTCTTCTCTCAACTCTGTTTGTGATGTTGTGTGGCTGAAAATTTTGGATAAAAACAACTTTTTAAATCTAGGATTTATTTATATGGCTGCCAATTTTCAAAATAAACTTCTTTTTTGGTAGAAATAGAACTTTTTTCTTATTTTTGAGTAGAAATAGAACTCGGTTGCTGATTGCTGAATTTTGCATGGCCAATGGCCATAACCCATAAAAATTTGTTGGAATAAAAGTTCATTGCAGTTTGCCGAAATAAAATGAGGTTCCACCGAGATTTGAACTCGGATTACTGGATTCAGAGTCCAATGTCCCGACCACTAGACCATGGAACCGATTCGTTTAAAAGCATTCTCTTTTCGTATTTGTCCGAAAACTATTCAGATAGACTGTAACTCCGGTCTATTAAACCATTCAAATGTAAATACATGTATAAAGGGTTAGCTGAAGTGCTGAACCCATTAAGATTCCAGATTTGCTCCTTACATTCACCGACCTCACACCATGTGGTAGCCACAACATCTTCAATACTTGTATGTTATTATTCATGGGAGATGTTCTCATAGTGGATGTGACTGTGAAGTGTAAATCCCAATTCATCCAATATCTGTTTAGTAGGTTGTGAAATTAATGATAACACTCCACAACAATAATAAAATACATTGGACCCACAATATGAGACATTATCATTGGTTCCACAGCACGTTAAAAATCCATTGCATTCATCTAATCAAAATTTCTTATAAGCAAAATTGGAAAGAGGAGAGTTGTTTCTTTCACAAGAAAATCCTTGTGTTTGATATATCACATGTCAAAAAAGTTTATCTAATAGGGGGGCTGTAACCTAGATGAGAAATCGTATGGTGTGTTTATGTGGTGTGGATGAGAATACACCACATGAAGTTGGAAAGAGGAGAGTTGTGAAAATCCTCGTGTTTGATATATCACATATGTCAAAAAAAGCTTATCTAATAGAGGGGGAGGGGGGGAGTTCATGTGATGTGGATGATAATACACCACACTCTAACAAGGTAGTTGTTTTGCATTATGGACAAAATTGTGTGGATTGAACTACACTACACTCCCATAGGCATTTTACAAGGTATAGTTACATTTCAATCCACACCCTGTGTTTTGATTTCATGTATCTCACCTAAACATGTGAGATGATCTATACTATTAATAATATATATATATATATATTATTTTTTATAATATATATTATAAAAAATATTAATAAATTGTTAAGATTAATTTATCAAGTTATTAATATTACTAAGCTTAAAGACAATTAAAAAATTAATAAATATTATAAAATCAATAAAAATTATAAAATATAATTCGTTAATATTAGGTTGCTAGGAGTAGTAATTATTATACAACCTATAAAAACTAATAAAATATACACATATTTAACAAAAACTCTATATAACATTAAATTTATTTAAGATGCAAATGAAAAAGGGAAAACTGACTTTGTGGTTTGTGCACCTCAACAAAAACTCTATATAACATAAACTCATTATTTCTACAATAATGAGGACGAGGTGTGTGTCTTTGAGCATAATCTACATAATGTGGTTTGTGCACCTCAACATGCCTCATCTACCCTTACTCTCCACTATTTGACACGATACGCCACAACTAACACTATATCGGTCCAATATGCCATTGTATTGGTGCATATCACAGAATATTGGTCGATATGCACCAATACAGAGACATCGAACTCGCGTATCGCACATAAAAGTGCTTCACTAGAAAAAAGGTTTTAATGTGATTCGACCCCTAAAACTTGAGTTGCATAACATCCAACAACACAAAGATCTTAACCATCAATCCACCTTCCATTTCGTGATAATAAATAAAACAAATCATCTTTTATTAAATTTAATTCTTACATTTAATCTAAATAAATAGTATATTCAATAACTCCATGTACAAATTAACAAGAATAATATTCAAATTTGTTATTTTATAATCCAATAAAATAAATAATTATTAGATCCACACACACACACACACACACACACACACATATATATATATATATATATAAATGATTTTTAATTTATGTAGATTTGATAAATTATAATATTTATTTTATAAATTATTAATTAATATTTTAATTTTCATTAAATAACAGTGTATTTATTATTATAAAGATAAAATATTGTTTACAAAAAAATTGAAAATATAATATAAATTGAATCTATCAAATCCACTAATCTACATTTTAAAAATATATATATATTTTAAAAAATTCATAAAAATAAAAATATTAATAATGAATAATTATTTTAGTAATTAAAATTTATGAATTTTCATATGCTATGCATCTTCAAATTTTCATTTACATTTTATATAAACATATTTATTGTTTACAAAAGTGAAAGTATTATTTATTGAACATTTGCAAATTAATTTTTAGTTGATTTTTTGTTGGTGTTAAAAATTGAAAATAGTAAAATAAAAATAATTAATATAATAATTCAAATATAATGGTTGCATTCTTTGTGTCTTGGATTTTATAAAATAAAAATCGATGCATTATCAATAAAATTGTATAATATTTATGCATCCTATTATATCAATAATAATATCTTTCTTTAGATATACTATTAAAATATACAATTCCTATGTATTTATACGTTATTTATAGTTATTTTAACATTAAACTTGAAGTTATTAATATAATTATTGAATTTATGTGCATTTCCTTAGTGTATCCAAGCATTTTCATATTTTTCGTCTATATCCATGCGTTTCCCAAGCATATCTATACCCATATCTAAATCCAAGTTGTCCGATACAATATTTGATACCAATACTTTAATCCTTGCTTCGTACCAAGCTTCTAGAAAAGACAATATTTGGTTTCTAAATCTATCAAACAATGCTTGGTTCCAAGAGAACAAAGAAAAGAAAACAATGGCTTTTGAGTTCTTTGTCTACAATAATGTATCTTCCTTCTTTGAACAAAGAAGAAAACTATTGGAACAAATTAGTTGCATGTATTTTACTAGGGTTAAGAATTACATTTTCATTTTTATTTTCTTTTAATTAACATTCTTTGAAGATCAACACCATCATTTTCCACTTCCCTAAAATTGCACTTACTTCAAATATTAGGACTTCAAAATATAATACTTGAATGCTCACATATTGGCTTAGAAATTGCAAAAAGTATTTTAAATACTCCACATATTTATGGTATTGGAAACAAATTTTTTCTATTATTTTTTATAATGCCAGTAACAATGATTCTACTATAAATATTTTAAAATCTGAGTTAAAACTGATTTTAAATATTATTTCACCATATATTGCAAAATTAGAAATTGTATTATGAAGCTTAGAATTTTCGATGTTAGAAAACAAGAATTTAAAATTTTATGTCATTACAATATGGGAAAAATATAAAAGATTTATATTAGAAGTTCAACATAGCTGGAATTCCACATTTTTTATTTTAAAGAATTGCTTCTCATATAGGAAAATTCCTACCATGTTTTATAATGATAGAATGCCCAATAACTTTATAACTAATGATGATTGGGATGCTATAATTTGTATAAAAAAAGTTATATAATATTTTTGTGATGCAACTAATTTATTTTCAAGTGTTTAGTACCCAACATTGCTTACATTATTTAATCAATTGTATATAATTAGTAATTGTTATGTAAGATATAGCAATGTTTGAAATTCTAAAAATATTATTGAAATAATGGAAAAATAAATTTAATGATATTGAAAAATATTTCTCCTTATATTGTTTAATTGCAATCTTAGACCCTAGGATTAAAACTTGGGGTAGATATTTTACTTGATTCTTATCATGAAAATATGCAATCTAATATTGGATTAAAAAGATGAAGTTAATTCTCTATTATATCAAATGTATAATTCATATGAATAACGAAAAATAACAAGACAATAAAAAATAAATAAACTTGTATAGACACACCATCTGAAAGTATTAATGGTGGTAGTGTAATAAATAAATTTTAGTCATTAATAAATAAAGGAAGACAACAATGAATTACCTCCTCTTCATCAAGTTCATTTAATGGACTTCATTTTTATTTGTAAACTAATATTACAAATTTCCTCACAGTTGAGGAATGCCATTTCTCTATTCTAGGCTGAATTGGATTCCCCCATATGGGGTAATGGCCATTCTAGCCTAAACCATATAGACATCAAAATAGGTGATTCCAATTCTGATTCCAAGGGATTTTTTATTGTGATTCCAGTTACGATCCTGACTATGAACAAAACAAACCTTTGGTTTCTAGATCTACCAAACAATATTTGGTTTCAATAGAACAAAGAAGAGATAATAATGGTGTTGGGTTCTTTGTCTACAACATGTCTTCCTTCTTTGAACAAAGAAGAAAATTGAAGGATCAAATAAATTGCCTATGTTTTACTGGGTATAACTTATAAGAATGATGTTTTCATTTTTATTTTCTTTTATTAAAATTTTTGTAAGGTGAAAACCATGGTTTCTAACTTCCCTGGAAGCTCAAACAAATCGGTTGCAAACTATAGAGTAGGATTTTCTTTTAAAATCCATGACATTAAGGGGGCATTCTTTTTTGGATTTTGAGAGAGGAAAAGGTTGGTCAATGGGATTTTGGTTCCCATTGACCAAGAATCCCATGTTCTTTTTTCAACTTTATGTGGGGACCAGGGAAAGCTTATTTTCTTAGGTATCACTTACCCAAGAAAGTGATACCCATCTCCTAAATGGGTAAATAACTTTCCCACATAAGAGAAAAATTGCCAACACTTGAATGGGACAAAAATACCCCTTTTAATAATGAATTTCTATAGCTAAAATGATCATTGCCTTATTTACCTGAGAAATAAAAGAATATGAATAAATGCACTTGACCGGATAAATGTTTCTCAAGAAAAACTTACCCAGATAATTACATTTACCTGGATAAATAACTTATCAAAAAGTGAACAGGGCCTAAGGTGTTTTAATAAATGAACAAGAGTGACCCATGTGAAAAACTTTGATGCGCCCAAATCACCTCCCAGCAAATACCTGGTGCAAGTTGTTAGAAGGGCTAAAATAGTTTGTACATAGACATTTTCTTCCTAGGCTGGGCCTTTTTAGGTGAAACCATCCAATAATGGACCCAGATCTGAAAGCCTGCTAAATGGTAAGTTACAAAAAAAGGCCATAGGAGACCGTTTTCAGGGTTCACCACCATCACCAGGTTATCAAGGATGAACAAAATCCAGTACCACCCAAAGGAAATGTCCTATATTGACCAGCCATACACGTACCAATCTGGAGAGTGGAGATTATAATTATATATAGGATGCATGTAAAATACAGATAAATGTGTAACTCCTATTTTACATCCATTGTGGGGCAAGACGCTCATTCCCGCTAAGATGGAACGTACGTTCACATCCATCTCAATCAAGATGGACTCCATCCCTATAAATTTTACCAAGAAAAAGAAAACAGAAAAATATGTATACGACTTGACCATTAAAAAGGAAGAGGGGCAAGAAAGCGAAACCCAACGATAGGTTGGAGAAGATAAAGAGAAGAAACTCGAATTAAAACGAAAACAGAGGACATCTGAACGGCTCATCGCCCCAATAACAATGAAAACTATATTTTCTTTCTTTTGGTTCATCTCCTTTTTCTTTTACCCAAACATGTTTTGGTGCTCCACCTCTCCATCGAGTATCACGGAGCTATGATGATGAACCATGTACCACCGCCCATTGTGGAACTCGTACACATTGGTCACATGGAAAGGCCCTCTATCTATGCCAATATAGGTTTTCATGGTAACCCAAGCCATATCAGTCAATACCCGAGCTCGGACATCCCGAATCTGGAAGGAAACCTCTTGGCCCCACGGCCCCCACCTGAATGCCAGCTGCCAGCTCTCTATAACAGCATTATACCTGTAGACAACAATTATATTGATCAACAAACTAGTCAAAGGAAATGCTACTCTTTTCTTTTATTTATTTATTTATTCTTTTTTGAGGGGGGTGGAAAGAAGTACTCTGATTTGAATTCCGTACTTGAGGGCTTTAGGGGAGGGGCACACCAACCCTCCTACCCCACTCCTTATAGCTCAGGCAGTTTTGTCCCTCACTCATGAACCAGCCAAGATCTCCATGTTGTTGGTTTATTCCAATATTGGCATCAATTAGGGTTTTCTATTTTTAAAAACCTTTCTAGATACACTTGATTAGGGCTAGAATTTATAAAGAACCTTCAAAGTAGTTTTACGTGATAACATGTGAGAGCGAAGTCAACTAGGTTCTGGCAGTTTTGGCCATTCATGAACCAGCCTGGGTTTCTTTGTGTCGGTTGGTTAAGCCTAACTATGGCATCAATTAATTCAAGTCACTACGATTCAACCAGAGGATGTATAGTTCATAGACTCCACAACAAAGATTTGAATGATTAGGTGGCATTTTCAACATTCATCTCATAGAGATATTTGAGGTTCAAATCTTCATCAAATTTTCATGACTTGTTTTCTTCGAAAGAGTAGATTCAGAATTAAGGTAAGGAAGAACAAATATGAAAATAAGGGCCTCCTTTCATAAAATTTGTGAAAAATGTCAAATATCTTCATAGGCAGGGACAGATTATAATAAAGACAAGAATAACTTTTCTAAAAAGGGACTCTAAACTTTTTTTTAACATGAAATGGATTAATGGATTCTGGGCAATTTCCTTCTATCTGCAAAAGAACTAGGCAGCATTACTCTCTCTCTCACACACACACACACACAACTGGGCTTGATCAGTTTCTTTTTACATATAATACAACACTTCAATTCCTACACTCAGTAAGGGTCATTGCTTGGTGCAATGCANTTAATGGATTCTGGGCAATTTCCTTCTATCTGCAAAAGAACTAGGCAGCATTACTCTCTCTCTCACACACACACACACACAACTGGGCAGGCATGTCCATTCCCCCCCGCCCCCCCAGATAAATTTTCTGGTATATCAAATTAGGATTAGATTAGATCTAACTAACTGGTGTTGTTCTATTTTAAAAGAATTAGGAAGACTTGTCCAGGTTTTCTAAAATGCAGTTCAAATTTGGGCCTTGCAGCGCTCATAATTTAACAATGGATATTGCACTAAACAGAACAGAATGGTAAAACAGTACACATGTAGTCAACCCCGTATAGCTGGGATAACGCTCAGTTTCAGTGAACATAATAGAGCTCAACTCAACTAATCATATATTTACAGTTGTTACTGGGTTGGGTTCAAAATAATCAAACCATATTACACAGAATCTGGGTATTCATTTTGAGTCCCTGCTATAATAAGGGTAGGGACTGGTTCTACCCGTTCCACCCCAATTAAGACCCAAACCAAATATGTAAATACATGTATGTATAATAAGATGACTGTTGTTTCTGGGGGATATATATAAGATATTTTGAGAAGAGAGAAAAAGAGAATTAGCAGATAAAGGGCTGTCACAGTCGTACTTGAGCTTTATTGGGTCAGACTCAATAAGCCCAATTAATAGTAGGGGATAGCTCTGGGTCTTATTACTTACAAAACCCATAGGGTCCAAGTTGGAACTGGGTCTGGGTGTTTTCTTAATGATCCAGGGCCTGGTTTAGCCTGAACCACTAACAGCTTTAATCACATCCTACCAGCTGCGCCCTCAATCTGTAACACGAGTAAACCATAAAATGCAAAAAACTAAACAATGCAGGGAGAAGCTATGTTCAGCATTTAAGATGTTATCTTTCCAACCTTCATCAGTTCAAAAAGATAGAAACTACTAATATCATAATATATTATATAATTAAATATATAATTAGCATGGAAAATAAGAAATGGGAAAAAGTGTACACTTTGGAAGGACAACTGGGCTACAACAAGCCCCTTGGAAGCATACAAGCCAAATAGTAACAACCCACTAAGTCAGGAGGATTGCGAAGTGGAAGAGTTAATCATAAACAAGAGGTGGGACATGCCCAAAATAAACTCTCTCCTCCCTGAGGAAATAGGGAAAAGAATCCAAGCAATTATGATACACTCAGAGGAGAAGGAAGATCAAAGACTATGGGGAGGTAGTACAAATGGACAGTTCTCGGTAAAATCAGCTTATGCAAGCTTAAATAATGAAGATCAGGAGGATGAAAGAATAACATAATTAAGCAGGAAAATAAACAAAATGCAGTGCCCCCCGAAGCTAAAGATTTTCATGTGGATCCTTTTAAGAAGAAAACTACCCACAAAAGAAAGACTCAACAGAAGAGGATTACCATGTGATGCAGATTGCTCCATATGCAGTCAGACTGAAAACAAAAATCACATCTTGGATTGCCAGCTGGCAAAACAAGTATGGCCCCTACTGGAAGATCAAATCCCAACCCCAGGAATAATGGGCACGAATGATGTCTTATAATGGTGAATAGAAATAGGAAGGAAAAAAATTAACAAAAAAATCACTCTATGCTGGGAGAAAATTGCCTTTGTTCTATGGTCCATCTGGAAAAACAGAAATGAGAGCATCTTTAATAATAAAAGCTACAACCTGAGCCAGATGATAACCAAGGCCCTCCAAAACCTAAGAGAATTTACAGAAGTCCAGGAGAGGCAGGAATAAGCCAAGTAAAACATAGGAAAATGGTATGGGTTAAATGGTCCACCCCCCAGAAATGCCTCAAGAAACAAGGATCAGTTATGTGCCTAGTTGCAAGGGACTGGATGGGAAGAATAATAAAGATAAGTGCAGGGATCATTGGAATAACATCAATCACAGTAGCAGAAATGATGGCATGCCTAGAAGCCCACAAAGTAGCAGCACCCTAGAAGGCAGGTCATTATAGGAGACTCAAAAACAACAATAGAAGGTCTCAACGGAACTGCTGAAACCATGTGGAGAAGTCAAATTATCTTGGAAGAATGCAGAAAGATTCTCGTAAAGTACATGCACGTCCATAGGGAATGAAACCAGGTGGCGGACTGGCTAGCAGATCAGGTTATCAAGCAAGTTTCACTACGAGCAGTCTGGACCACCCAGAGCTATCTTATATTGTATTTGCTGATGCTTTAGCCATTAGTTTCCCTAAGCTTTCTTAGCTTCTCTTTGTTTTTCTTTGTTTTGCCTTTCCCATATTATCAATATATATATACATTAATTAAGGTGGATTGAGTTTTTTTGCACAGCTTCTTGCTGCGCAGGTGTGGGGATGTACATTTTCTATTCATTACAATATATTAGTATATTACCTTTTTCCCAAAAAAAAAATTATTATATTAATGATATATATATAGATAACCAAAAGGTTAAACAAGCCTTTCACAGTGCTAGTAGCCATAGATCTCAGTAACATACCCTGTAAAGAGCTCTCCAGAGCCATGAATGCACTTAACATAGTCTGCATGAAGCCAAAGTCGACTCATTGCTTGAAGTGACTTCTCTCTAATGATATTATAGAACTCTGCATTGACATTCACAACAGCTCTAGTAGCTGCATAATATGCCTTCCATCCATTAATTGGTGTCACACTGTCTTGCTCCATTGTGAAGTCCTAAAAAGATTGGTAAAGAAAAGTAAATGATCAAATTTTAAATACCCACATTTATTTAACAAATCTATACTGGCTTCCACCTAAATTAATATGCCAATAAAAAAAGACATTGCAAATTCCTCCAAATTATTGTGTGATTGTCAACTCCCAAAAGAAATGAATAATTAAGAAGAAACATCTACAGCATCCTAATTCTAAATAGAAAGTAGGAACAATGAAGTTGCAATATGACTTGTAATTTTTTTTTTGTCTGCTTCAGTTTCATTTAGACAAATCATCAGCAATAATTACATATTTTGCTGTTTCAAAATTTTTAGATCAAGGAAAATTACTAGAAATATTTGAAAATCAGAAAAAAAATGAAAGTCAATGACTTTTTCAGTTGCTCCATGAAGTTATACATTGACAAAGATAACTTCCCACATTTAAGCTAGCAAGCACCACTTTACTTTCATGGAACTCGACAGAATCCTCAGGCCCTCAAATCATATCCAGAGTTTTGCGTGCTTATAAACAAAATTAATAAGCATTTTCTGTGTTCATAAAACAGAAACACCATAAACAATTCAAATCTCAAGTACAACATTCAACTATGCTCAGCACTTGGGCCACCAACATGACCACATGACCACATGACCACATGACCACCTTTGGCATGTATGTAAGAAACCAAAAGCATTGTTATAAATTTTAAGCAATAACACTTGAAGAAGCTATGCGGACATGAACTTTTTCTACCTTATGCAGTACAAGAAAAAACTGAAACATGCTCCTAACATCATGATCATGCAAATTAGATTGTTTCCAGTTTACCTTGTCTGCAATTTGTTAAGGAGTTTTTCAGAAATACCTGGCAACAGAAGAAAAAAATCCACTTTTAGCCCACCAACATCTCTAAATGGTGTTCCTATCTTCTTAAGCCTAATTTTAATTGGTAATCCCAGTTGGAAACCCTCAAGTCTCAAGGTAGAAAATAGACAAATGTTTCACCAAGAACACATACCCAATCAACAGGGTTTACATGTTGCTTTGTGGAATATGATCCCACATGTGATTTCTTGGTGTATTTGGAAAGAGAGAAACAGCCAAACACTTGAAAATCGGTCCCTTCAAATCGAGAAGATATGTGCAATGATGGAAAGAGTTTTAGTGAAATAGGCCTCCATTAATGGCCTATTCTGGGGTTTCAAATTTAGACATTTTCTTGATTATTGGGGAAATATTCTATGGGATGATAACTTTGCATTGTAATGTTTCTTTGGATCACTAAGTAAAGCATCCTTTGTACAGCTCTTTCTCTCTTTGTTTTATTAATGAAATATTTTTCATCTTTCCAAAAAAAACAGGATTTACATGTTGAGTATTACCATCAACCATGTAATATAAGCACGTATATGTTATCAGTACCAATAATTATCATTATGATCACAAGCAATACTACAGCAGCACATGCTCGTCCCTAATATAAAGATTGTGGACCTGTTATTTCCTTTCCTTTCTTTTTATATATTTTTCCAATCAGTATTGTTGTTTCACTGAAGGGGACACCCATCAAAATGTACAAAGAGATGCAGCTCTGGATATATTTATACAGAACCCAATAATTTTATGCTTTCCTTCTTCAAAGTAACAAGCAGCAATATTGTTATTTGTTAAGAATCCTTATACAATAAAAAGGTAATTTCAAGAATCCTTTTTGTTTTTTATTGCTAAAATTGTTAAGAAGACTTGTAGAATATAAAGGTAGCATAGCTTGCTGGAAAGACTGGAAAGTGGAAAGAAATACTTTAAGGGAATAGTGAAATTGGTTAAGATAATATATTCTGACATTAATAGAGTGAAAACACACCAAGAACCAGCAAAGTGTACCAATACAACTTTAAAGTATCTTCTGAACAAGGGATAATATATTCTGACATTAGGAGATATATCCATCTATGCTGGGGCATCTCACCTGCACTGATTATCTTTCAAGGATGTTCCCAGCAAAAAGCTTTGAGTTTAGGAAGGGATGGACCAACCCAAAAAGCCCTGTCTAGAAAAGAAGGGTATCCAAGGGAGATTCATTGAGGGCTTTAAAGAACAAAGAATAGGAAAACAAACCCAAGGGATGACAAATCAAAATTCTTTTATCCATACCCATAAGAGTTAAGAAAACATGTTCTAGGGTTTCAAGAATATGGATCGTATCCTCACATTCAAAACCTCTCAATCTTTCTAAGGCCCAAATCCCAAGAATTACCTGAAATAGAAAGAGTATTTTTTTATGAATAACATATCATAAAGAGTGATGATGAAGTCCACAATGGGTTTTTCCCCTTTGGGGAAGACATGAAATAAAAGTCAAATATGAAAAAAAGAATATCAACCACCCAAATATCCTCCCAAAATCTAACCTTTTGACCAGAACACAATGCCATACCTGATGTATCTCAAGAAAAAATAAATAAATCAACTAAACAACTTTCCAAGGGTACTCATGTGTTACTTTTCTAGTAGGTTTAGAGTCCCAGATGTTATGCAGTCCATATTTGCTTCTGTTGACTAAATACGAAGTGAATTGTCTTCAGATAAGAACCTCCACAGCAATTTATATAAGAGGGCCAAGCTTTTGCTTTTAACTCTACCAAACTCTGAGCTTCCATCAACCTTCCAGTTTAAAAGATAATCCTTTTTGCTGTCTCCTGGCTCCCAAAGATCCTTAATAATTCCACACTCCCAATTCTTTTAATAACCTACTTAGGGGCTATAAACACTGAGACTAAACCATATACTTTGTCAACCCTACAAAATCTTTGCATATCTTCCTAACTTAGATCTTCTATTGAAATTTCTTGGAACTTTGGGGATAGGAAACCAGATCATTCCATTGATTTGCCTCATTGATGGGGTTTTCCCCAGTCCTAATAGGCAACATGGAAGATTGGGCAGCAAGGGAAACTGAGAAGATCACGGACTGATGGAGTATTTAGAAATTTGGGCAACATAATGGGACTCTATCCAGGATGTATAGGGTATGGAGTCTGAGCAGAACTGTTGGCAGTACTTCAGGCCTTGAGTTTGGGAAAACTGAAGTACAAAAACATAATAGTGGAAGGGAACTCCGGAGCTATAATAGAGCAGCGTAATAACAGTGATTTGGGCGCATGCAGTATAGATTCATACTGAAAGAGGTAAGAAGCCTTGTAAAGGAGTTAAGAGCAGCAGAGATCCAAGTGAGTGAAGCAATCAGCAAATAGTATAGAAAATCCAATGGCTAGACAAGGAGTTGAAAGAAACCAGCCATATTGGCAAAAATATAAATGAAGGAGATGGGATGTCACACTTGCAAGTGTTAATGTAAAGAGGAAGCTTGCCGATATGGTATAACATAGTTGTCAAGGTGAAACCTAGGTGACAAGGAACCCATGGAAGGCTTACCCAAGCACCTAGTTGGTTTTATACAAGGCACACCATATAATATTTTTTTTGTTGTGTGATCATAATACATTACACAATATTACCCTAAATAATTCTTTTTGTGAGTTTATTGTATTTTCATATTTCATATACTAGGTTTTTTATAATTTCTATTATGTTCTTATTTGTTAGGATTTGATCAACAGACAGGTCGGTGGTCACTGTGTTGAACCCTTGAAAACTTCAAAACCTGAACCAATAAGCAATGATGACCTTGAATATTTTAACCAATCAATACAAAAGAGGCAACCACCCCTTTGTTCTTTCTAAGAACAATAACAGAGGTTCAGCCCCCATAATTTCTAAGAATGATGCCTTCTTTTTCTTCTCATGTATAGGCTGATTTCCTTTTTTTGAAAAACAAAAATAAAATTTATTCAAGAAATAGAACAAGGTACAAGAGGTGATTAGCAATCACCGACCCTGAGGAAACAGAGCAAACCAAACAAAAACTATTACAAGTCAAAACCCAACCAATCTTCCTAAGAAGACAGAGAGAGAGAGAGAGAGAGAGAGAGAGAGGAACACCAACCAAATCCTTACTTTACTTCAGATCCCAAAAAACAATCAAGACTTGTTGATTGCTGGTTGCTATGAAACTTTTGGAATTACCCTAGGATTTAGGTTTTTTTTTTAAATCCATTACCCTGGCAGGCACCTAGGTGAAGCATTCCCCTATCACCTTGCTTCTCCATGGTCCCTTGACAACCTTGGGGTGCTTGGCATAATCACTTTGTGTATTCACCATTTTTTCCCTAAACGAATAAATTGAAATGTTATTATGAGAAAAAAATAAAGATGGAAGATTGGGTTAGACAAGGGTGCGATGACAGAACTTGATATAGCATAGAAGCCCAGTTGGAATAAACCGCCAAAGCAAGAGACTGGTTCCAAGTTTTCACCACTATGACATAATCAGAAATTAAAACTTGTTTGCTTCAAGAAAGGATCTGACTCCTATGGTTTGGATTACTTCTTCCCTCAAGGCTCTCTTAAATATACCAATGACAACAGTATTTGAAACACCTGAACATCAGGGATAAGAGRACTAGAAGTGCAATTAAAAACCATAATGGAGAAGCTATCCTAGTTTATTTTAACAAGAGATGAGAACTTAGTAAGGGCAGAATTGCTAACCTTCCTTTGAGGATAGTGACTATGATCCACTTTGAATCCCACAAGATTTAAATTGCAAGGGGACTCACAGGTGATGATATGGTGGTTGAGAAGAACGAAGATCCATAGAGGCTAGATTTCTAATCAATAACCTAACCATCTCGATTAGATGGATTAGAGGCAGTGTTCTAAAAACTCCATAGAAGCAATGTTTTAATCCCAAAACCTTCATGAGGTTATTTTTTGTTATTTTTATTTTTTAAACCATTTTATACCTTGTTCTTGTAGATGTCCATATTCCAACGAGAGAACTAGATTGAAAAATCYTCAACCACCATCTCATAGTTACAACAACTATACACAACAGTGCCATAATCAAATTGGGTATCACCCTACAAGTCCCTCAAAGTCACCCAAAAAATCACTTTGCCTTAAAGACCCGATTCACTACACCCAGAAAACAAGGAAATAACTATGCCCTGGATTAACCAATATTCCTAGGATATCTCTTTTCCATTCCATGAACTTTTTTCAAGCAAATTCTTCCCCTCACAAAATGAGAAGCCCTGATGATTTGCTTACTTGGACATCTGTTTCAACAATTTTTTTCTAGATCAACTCTCTCCTCTGTCTTTCATACTTGATCTAAAACCACCTCATCCCCATCCTCTTGATCTTTACCATCCTTCTCTTCATTTTCATTCTCAACCTTCTCCAAGACTTCATTTTTTACAATCTGGCACTGAAACCACTAGAGGTAAACCAAGAGAATCAGCACCTCCCGTTCCCAAACTATCTTGATCCTTCTCATTTGAAGACTCCACCATCTTCCCCTTAACATGATCCACATTTACTCTTAAATTTAATCTCTTTCACCAGTTTCTCCTTGTTAGCTTCAAACCTCCTTCTGCCCAAGTCCATATGCCCAATTTCCTTACAAGTTATAACAACTTCAACAAAACTTCCTAAGTCAGAAGAAACCTCACCCTCATTGACATTCTTAATATTTCTGGACTCCTCCCCCTCCTTTAAAACCTCATCCTCTAAAATGTTGCATTTTCTTTGTAAAGATGTTCTATTTTCTTCTAAATAAGCATTAACATCACCTGCCTCTCGTTCAGAAACACAAGCAACCACTATGTTCAAATCCCCTTCCTCTTCAACCGGTCTTATTTGGTGCTCTTCGCTCATATTTACATTCCGATTAAGTGTTGATGAAGCAGAGAATCCAAAACCAATTCCAACAAGTTCTTATCTGAGAGCTTGCACTTGTTAACTGAAGAAATTACTCCAGCCAATAACTAGATTGGAGCCTTACCATCAACCAAGGGCCTCAGTATCCCTTCTTGAGAGAACCTAGCAACCACCCATTCCCAAGTTTCTTTCTTCCTTGCTGCCATTCTCGCTCCATTTCTCAAAAGATGATTTTTGAAAATCATTCCCTTTCTTCCTCTTGAAACTTTCACCTGAAACCAACAATTAAGAAATCTCTGCCTCTGAACTGAACTGATCTTCTGAAAACTGAGTCTTCTTATGAACCAAGTTGGAGATGGTGAATCTATCATAGTACGTTATTTATTATATAATGTAATAAGCTTTAAAATTCTTTTAAAACAAACACTACAAAAATGTCCAACTAAGTGTAGTAAGAGTCCCAAGAAGATCAGAACACTTTGAGAAAAGCCCAACAAAGTTTTACTGAGAATTCCAGTTCAATTAGGACTCCTATACTTACCCTGAATTCATTTGAAGGTGAAATAATACTATACTTACCCTGAATTCATTTAAGGGCGAAATAATGAAATCCTAATGCAACTAAGATTCCACACCAAAATTCCCAGTTCAGTTATGATTATTTCCATACTCACAACAGTTTTATCCAAGAGCTAGCATAGAAATCCTTCCCCAACTAGAATTCCTCTACCAAAGTCCTAGTCCAAGTGTTCCCAAAATGTGTCCTAATTCAATCAAAACTATTTGGTAGCAACACTCTCGTCTTGTGTAAAGGTGAGGGTTCCTCATAAGCACTCCCAAAACTTACAATCATCTAAAACCATCCATCATTAGGAAATATTGAAATTTATTATTCAATGAATCTTCTCAACCAGATCACATCAATATGTATCATACATACACCCACATATAGGTTTGAAGTCCCACTCCTGGGATTTGTTTCCCATTCATTATGTTCGTCATGATTGCAGTACTCATGCCTTTAATTGAAGATAAAGAGACCAGAATATTTTTCTTTTGATCAGTAACAAAAAACTTTATTAATGATGTGAAGATTTGCAAAACCTTAGATACAATAGGGGGAGGTAAAATGTCTTAACTCCCCATCAACAGAATACAATGGAAAAAAAGTTAAAAATTAGCCCAAAAGATCGACTCTCTATTCACCCCTTGCTTAGCCAACCCATCTGCAAATTAGTTAACAGTCCTCTTCACCTAGCTGTATTTTATCTCAACTAATCACCACCTTCGAGTCACCTTCCAGGACCAAACGTCTGATATTTAGTTCCTTTACTCTTTGGATTCCTTCCAGAGCTGCAAGGATCTCAGCCCTAAGAGAGTCTCCTTCTCCAATAGCCAAAGAAACTAGAATATTTTATATTGATATCAATGTTTTWAAAGCGCAAGGTGCAAAAAAGGCACAGGGGTCAATTTGCGCCTGAGGTGCAAGGCGCAAGGCAAGGCGCGCGCCTTTATGATGCAAGGCCCAAAAATTTAAAAAAATGCTAAAAAATCAAAAATAATTCAAAAAAAAATATAAAACATAATATTAATAAAAAATATAAAGTAAAATTTAAAAAAATGTTTTAAAAAACCTATTATCTAAAATTAAAATACATAAACGTAAGATGTAAAGCATATTCAAATGAGAATTTAAAAATAAAATCAAACATATAAAACATTTTCAAGCATGTAAAACCTCTAATTTCTTTTTTCACTMAATTGCAGTACTTCACATAGCTAATGTAATGTAAAACATATTACATTTCTGATTCTACGAGCCGGCTTTGTGACACGCCCCTCGAGGCAAGCCCAAACAAGTCCACGTTAGGTCTTAAATTCTTAGTTTTCACACAAAAAATAATGATTTTATAGTTTTATTTGCTTTTTAAGAAGATATTTTATTAGGATGAATGAATGAACAACATTACCAAATTAGGGCTGCGCCTAGGACCTAGGCGAGGAAATTTGGCGCCTCAGTCCTGGCTCAGCCGTTATGTTCAAAAAAAGCAAAAAAGCGCCAAATTTTCTAAAGGTGCACGCCTGGGCTGAGGCGCAAGGCGCATCAGGCGCACGCCTAGGCGCACTGGGCGTGCACCTTTTGAAAGGGCTGCGCCTAGGACCTAGGCAAGGCGCATACCCTGAAACGCGCCTCGCCTGTGCGCCTAGGCGCACCTGAGGCGCACCTTTTAAATCACTGATTGATATCTTTGAGATAAATGTCTGATTACCAAATAAATTAATTCTCTTATCCATGTTCGAACAAATTAATGGCATTAGGCTTTTCTGGGTGGAGGAGAGAGATAGGATTCCCAAAAAATACAGATTTTCTTTTATTATGAAACTGAGTAACAGAAAGTAGGAATATTTCCTGAGCCAAAACCTCTAAAAAAGGGTAAGCAGCATAGTAACTAGGGTGTTCAGGCAACTATTGACATAGAAAAGCCAATTGTTACTTGGTTTGATTGAAGAGTATTCTGCAAACCAAGATCTCCAGAATGCCAATGTAAATACCAATATATTTTTATAACTGGATAAACAATTTGATGGAATTAATAGAATTGGTCTAAACCTTTCAGATATGCCAGGCTACAAAGATAATGGGAATTAAAAAACTAAAGAAAACGATTAGCATGTCAGTTGAACAAATCACGAACTCAAGGTACCAAAGTCTAAGACGAACCCACCATGAAATTGGTCCATCAGTTTAGTCACTGCTCTTAAAGAGTGTCGAATCCCAAACAGAAAGAGCAAGGATATTTTTTGGAGATTTTGTAAGGGGAAAGCACCATTGAAGTAGGAAACAAGTTGCTTAAAACCTTATCTTAAAAACCTGTAAATGCTTTTTTAAGTGTTAAAAATTACAATTCTCGTAATAACTGAAACCACATCAACAATTATATAACGATCCAACCAGGGGAAGCAAGTTTATTCTAATGTTAAAGAAAAAACAAAAGTTGACTAAGAAAGCAAGTATTGGTCGCACCTTGTGATAGAGCGCCTTCCATGCACTATCATCATTTGCAGCCTTCCGCATCAATGAATTTGTCATTGAAAGCCGGCACAAGCTCGGATAATCCAAGTAGCTCAAAGCGTGCGTGGTAATCTCGGGAACCAACTGCTCCATCATTGAAGCCCCCGTCTGCCGCTCGGCCACCACAGGCGCTCTCTCGTGCATCTCCCCTGCACTGCCGTTGGCGTAAGGAGCAGACGCGGGAGATGAATTGGGAACCCCGCCGCCACCACCACAGGAACAAGTGCAGCCACAGGCCTTCTTCTTCGACGAACTCCGGGCGCCGCCGCCGCCGCCACCTTCGGATTTTTTCGAACTTACCTTCCGGAGAATACTCGACGTCGATGGCCGAACAGCCCACAAAGCGAACAAGCAACAGAATGCAGTGAATCCCGCTACTAAATAGAACGACACAGAAGAGAAATCGCCTTCAGACAGAAAGGTTCTCTCCATTTATAAGACATCAAAACCTCGCAGAACATGAAACCCTAGAAAAGGCGAACAAGAATGAATAAGAAAAAGTCTTCAGAGTGGTTCATCAGAAAAGTAGGGTTTCCTTTTCTTTCGTTCTCCTCCCTCGCTCTCCCGCGACCCCGCGGCCTCTTCCCCTTGTTCGTCTAGTTGGGGAGATGGGACTTGTGCGTTTTGAGTCGAATGGAATTTCGAGCGCGTAAACTGCTCTTTTCTGATTAACGAGTTCGCTGCAAATTAATAGAAAGAAGGAGGATAAAAACTGTAACTGACTTTGTGCATTGCTTACCAAAAATAAAAATAAAAAAATTGTGCATTGAAATCAAGGTTCCGGTCAAATTGAAATATATCCGCATTATAAGGGTAATTCGGTCATATGGCTTTCTAAGAATAGTTCAAATACTGTGGATGCTACCATATTACCCATAGCTTTCATACTCATATTTTTCATACCTTGGCTTTCCTTTCTGTCTGATTTCCACCGGTTACCACACAATATCATCAGGGAACTGTTGCGCCCTCCGCCGTGGAGCCACCACCCAATCGGCCGGCGGCCGCCCCGCCCTCCGTTCGTTATGGAGTCAATTTACCAAATAGAGATGTGATGGAGTCATGGAGGGACGATCAAATAACCCTGCTCTCTCTCTCACTGAAGTCGTGTTCGCAATTGGCCTGGCTATTTGGCTGCCCGCTGCTGTTATTGGTATTGTAGTTTTTTACTATAACCAGCAACGCAACACCATAACCGTAGTTGTAGACTAGTAGGCAGTAGCAACTGGCAACTAATAGCAAGGGTTCTGGTTGAAATTTGTGAGAGTTCATATCATCTACTGTAAGCCGAGCCAATCCAGATTGACCATATCAGACTATCAGTTCCTTACACGTGGGGTCCATGTATCAGGCTGACGTGATATATCTTGATTGGTCCAGTATATAATCATCCAGTTGCCATGGCCCATGAGTGGTATATGTGACAATGTAGACTATGTAGTGATGCACTGCTAAACGTAAACCAAACAAGTGAGAGAAATAGATCATTCTGATTCTGATTATGAGGAATTACGATACCAACTGAATCAAATTGACCATTATTTACACATGGCTAATCAATTGTAATTTACTTCAATTTTGCTATTACGGCAGAGCTAAAACTTGATAATGATGTGGACCCACAAGCGTCATCTCATCTAATTCAAGGTGGGGCCATGGCAATAATAAAAGGCTTTGATTTTTTTTTTCTACCAATAAAAAATGCTTTGATTTTGTCATACCCTTAATTTTTATTTTATTTGGTGGGAAAAAAGTATGGTTTTTGAACCGTTGTTGACCCAGATGATCGGACCATTCCGCCCGAGAATCATCTAGGCAACTGATTCTATTTTACCTCAAACTTGGTCCCTAGTCAAAAACCATTGAATTAGTCAACGATTTATTGATCAGGGCAGTCAAACTGTTGACTTGTTCAATAGTTTTTAGCCATTTTTTATTTTAATTATTATTTTTATTTTTTATATCAGAATGGGTAGGCCGTCCGTTTAGACCGAACGGTCAAACCATGACTCAAAAATCGATGGCCAGAACGATTACAGTTTAGAGTCATTTTTTAAAACATTAGAAAGAAGCATATATCGGTGGAAATGAGATATTCTCCTCTTAGATGGAAAAACATGTTGATCGTTTGTAAGGCTGTTTTTAGACAGCCTGCCCACCATGCATTGCTAGCTACTAGCATAAATACAGTGGTGCATTGGGAACATCTCCCATAAATGATAATATAATAAATAAAGGTAATTTGTCTAAAACTCACCATGAGTTTTCAACATTTCTCTTAAACTCACCACAACTTTTCAAAATGTCTAAAAGCTCACCATGTTGGTAAGTTTTTATTTTCAAAACTCACCTTCCGTTAGTGCTTCTTAATAGAGGTGTCCATGTCAGCATAAATAACAATTTTCATAACCAAATTACCCTTGAATGGTGAAGTAGAGAAAAAAAATGGCCTTTTCAGTTTTCAATTTTCTTTTTCTTTTTTTGCATTTTTACTGTTTTGTTAAAATTTCCAATGTTTTTTAAAAATTTTCTAATTTCTACAATCTATAAATTTTCCTGTATTTTTGTTATTTATTTACAATTTCTGTGTTTTCTATAATTTTTAGTGTTTTTTCTACAATTTTTATTTTCTGATTTTGTTTTTCAATTTATATAGTTTATATAATTTGAAAGTAATTTTTTTATTTTGTTTGCAATTTCTATAATTTTTTATACTTTTTGCAATTTCTATGTTTTTTATGTATTTTATATTTGAAAATATTTTTTTGAATTTTTTTCCTTTTTTCATGTCTAAATATTAAAATGATAATATATTAACACCCGTTAATTTATTTGTATATATTTTATATTTTTTTATGAAGGTTAAAATGGTAATATATTAACACCTGTTAGTCTATTTAACGTCAAGTGAACATGGTGAGTTTTAGACATTTTGCAAAATTGTGGTGAATTTAAAAGAAATGCTCATGATGAATTTTAAACAATTTCTCATAAATAAAAGATGTTCCTGATGTGTGGCCAGCAAAGCAAAAATGTATTTAAGGAGATCGGAATTTTTTTTTGGGAGCTTTCAGCACATGATGCAGCACCATAAACATGGATAAGAGAATATTTGCAATTAAAATTCTTTGTCAAAAAGATAAATAAGGACGTGAGTTAGGTAATGCCAATGCGCAGATAAACAGCCCAAAATATTAGCTTTTCCCATGAAGACTTCTTTCTCAAGTAACTCAAATACGGGAAAATACATGTACAATTTCACATTGGGTCATGGGAAAATAACATTAAGGCTCCGTTTGTTTGTAATACAAAGTTGAACAGGGGTATTTATGTACCCTGATTCACGTTTGCGAGCGTTTGTTTGATACATAAAAAAGTAATGATTATCAGAGCAAAAATGTATTTTCTGACACTTTTGTACTCTCAAAAGAGAGCATTACTATACCTATTTTTTGGATACAATTTTGTCTTTGACTTTTTGACCAAAGTTAAGACAATAAGATAGTTGGAGCATTTAATGATGGGTCCACACTTTGCACCGATTTCAAACAAACAAGATGAATGTAAAAACGGTTTAAAATGTGAATCATGTTTGCATTCATTAACCAAAAAATGGGTAAATATGTAGTGTACATATTTGTGTTTGCATTGCAACCAAACGCAGCCTAAGAGAAAATGATAGAGTGCATATGAATTCTTAATTATTTTCAACTCTAGTAACAATACTGATAAGGGCGGATTTGGCCCTCCAATGATATTGTGACACATGGCACATCGGAACAAGTAGGTGACACCTGGAACCACTTAGGCAACAACTTGCTTTAGCCAAGTTGATGGTGTCCCACCTGGCGGCCTGGCCCAGGCGCGACCTAGCGGCCTGGGACGGGCACGACCTGGCGGCCTGGCCCAAGCGCAACTTGGCGACTTGGCACGGACGTCGAACTGGAAGCCTAGCCCAGGCGTGACCTGGAGGCCTGGCCCTGGCGCCGAACTGGCGGCCTGGCACAGGCGCCGACCTGGTGACCTGCGAGACGTGCTCGCCGAAAAATTCGGCATGCAATGCATGGCGGTTGCCTTAGGGAATCTCAGACCACTTAGACGATTTCTCGGAAATCTTGGATGCGGTGCGTGAAGCCCACGCCAAACTATGCTTATATAAAGGCACCAACCCCAATGGCATAGGGGGGCAAGTAAGCATATTCTAGCTCTCATACTTAATGATTTTTAGCTCGCAGTCTACTATGAGAGTACTGACTTAAGCATCGGAGCGACCTCGCCGAGTTAGCCACCCCGGGTCCTCTGACATTGATTCCTTGCAGGCCTAAAGAACTATCAAGCTCAACAATCAATCCAGCTCGCCACTGGTCAGCTCGACACCTAATAGGCAACTCGGTGCTCTGGTCAGCTTGTCACCTAACCTACCTAGCTCAGCCCAGTCAACTCGTCACCTAACTTGCCTAGCTCGGCCCAGTCAGTTTGGCACCTAACCTACCCAGCTCGGCCCATTTAACTCGACACCTAATCTGCCCCCAGCTCGGCCTGGTCAGCTCGGCATCCGGGTCCTCATCCAGCAAAAGTTCACTTCGGCCTCTGAGTCATCGACCACTTGGAAGTAGACCAAATGATGAGGTACTTAGCACAAAAAATTGATACATCACCAAAAATTGATTCATCAAATACCCAATAGTTTATTACATGAAGTCTATCCCTCTAACATTAAAGTTGTGTTTGGTTTGAAAAAAAAAAGTAGGGAAAGGAAGGGAAAAGCAAGAAAACCTATACAAGTTTTGTAAAGGTTTCCCTACATTTCCTTTCCTTTCCCTACCTTTTCATTCAAACCAAACATAGCTTAAGGTTATGTTTAGTTTGAAGGAAAAAGTTGGGAAAGGAAGAGAAAGATAGGGAAACATATACAAGGTTTGTAAAGGTTTTCCTTCCTTTCCCTACTTTTTCCTTCAAACCAAACACACCCTAAGGGATTGTTCAAAAAAGTGTAATTCATCCAATGTTTTAAAAACTGAACCGCTTTAACCACTAGTTTCTAGTCAATGGTTTGACCATCCGGGTTGAACGGTTCAAGCGGTCTAAGGTATTTAAGCTTTAGATTGGAATACTAGGGTAGAAGGTTATGAGAAAAGACGGGGAAAAAAGAAAAGAACTAGAGAAAAAAAAAAAAGTAAAATACAAAAGCCTCCCCTAAAATTTCTAACAATCATAAAAACCTCCCTTATAGTTTCATTTTAACAAAAACCTCCTCTCAACTTTTAAAGAACTCAACAAAAAAATCCCTCCTATCATTGACCCATAGAAAACTATCGAATTTACAAAATTGCCCATGATTAAATCACCAAAGCATCATTAAAATATTTCAAAATACCAGAATCGCCCCTACTTGTCCAATAGGATCCTCTGTGTTCAAGTCTCTGTATGCAACACCATTACTGTTCATTGCCTTCAACCCTTGTTATGGTATTTTTCTTCTTGTAGTCTTCCTTCTTCTCTTCTTTATTGCCTTTCTTCTGGTTTCTTGTCTTCTTGGGTATGGGGGAGATGAGCTCCACCTTCTTCTTCGTCTTCTACTCTACTCACTCTCAAATTTTCAGTGGGTCTATTTTCCCTACCACGGCTAGATTATTGTTGCCGCTGTCTCCTTTGACGTCTTCGATACCTTTATCCACCACAGAATGCAACAGCAAAATGAAGAGATGATTAAAATTTAAAGGCAAGAAAATGAAGAGATGTAAACCAGGTTAAGCGAAGTAGGAAACCAGAGTTGAGTCTAATACGCACCAAGAAATCAAAGCAACGGTGAAATCTAAATACAGAGACATTTTTATAAGAAAAGGGGAAATCAAAACAATGAACTCCAGTTTGAAAAACCAAAACTACTTCTTCCCAAAATATTTTGTAAGTAAATCAGCAGAGATGGGAGCAATGGATCCCAATCTCAAAGCAATTCTGTAAAATCCCAGAAGAAGAAAGAAAAAATTTTGAAAAAACCAGGAAAAGGATTCTACTTCTTTCTCGTTGGCTTATGTGTGTCTATACTCAGAAAAACGAAAGGAATTTGAAAT